CCATACACATTCATTCCAAGCAAGAACAGGCTCAAATCTCCATCTAAATAAAGAATCACAAATGAAAATCAAGGTGGGTGGTTCTTCCTGAGTTAATCCTTAATCCCCTGTGGCAGGTAGATTACTTAGAGGAAGAAAATACAGATGAGGCAGCATTTTAGTCTCACTAACCTCCCACATATAGACATTTGCTGTGGAAAACATTGAGCCGAAAAGAAATAAAGTGTGAAAAGGCTTCCAAGATAACTGTCCAATATGCATGGTCTCTTTCACCTTCAATCGTTTGCTCTTTTTTAGGAACATAAGAAATGGGCTTGGGTGTACGGTCTGCCGATCGCCCAGGTGGGAAAGCGCAGGAGACAATTTTCTATATACACCAGCCTGATTCAACGTTCATCCTTGGAAGTATGGAGAGCATAAATCTGGCTTCCCTCCCTGCCATCTATGACGTGCGCGACATCCTGTCTTTGGCTTGACGGTTACCTATCCACAGTCCTCTTGTGCTTTCTCGCTATTAGTGGTGTGCTCCACTATCTACTGTTCCCGCCTTCATCTCGTGTTGCCTATCCAACTGGCCACGTTACGTATCTCTACTAACTGTCCTCCAGGAAAATAGAAAGAAGTAAAGAGGCACTGTAGGTGACCTTTCTTTCGCATTATATAAAGTTTTCAGAAAACTTTTTCATTTTTTTGCCTCCTACTTGAATAGATAAAGTTTAGGTTGTTTTCAGGTTTAGTCGTTTCATTTGTCTGGAGAGTTACATAGGGTGGGTGAGGAAATTTGATAGGTGCCTGGCTCTCGTAGCGAGTGGAAGGAAGGCACAGGCGCACTCTAGTATCCTGATACGCACAATGATAGACTGTGAAATGATATGGGGCTATAGAGGAGAGAGGTGTCGCCATCATTGGTCTCCAACCCCATGTTACAACTTTTATGCCCCATGCGGGATAGTGCTGTAGCCATAGTTTATGGATAAAGAACGCACCGAAACAACGTCTGTCGTGAGTTTTCAGTACAACTAGCCTGAAGCATGACTACAGGATTATGTGACTTAAATGCCATAAGCATCCACGTGAAGCAGAGATGTTAGATCATTATGGTGCGTCGAAGCACAATATTAATTGAAGTAGAGATTACCATCCAGGGCCAGAGACTAGGAAGGAGAATAGTTAAAAGTAAGCAATGAAAATACCTGGGCATGATATATACATTGCCCTGTAAGGTTGGATACAAAGGACCAGCTACTCCGGAGGAGAGCGCCATTCTGTAAGCAATCGCGATAGGATGCTTGAGCCCACGCACTTCTTTCATGGCTAGTGTTCTTGAGTGAGCCACCTTATAGACTTCTGTGGAGTGCCAGGAAACGGCACTTCTCTGCCTGGGCAAGAGAGTGAGATTCTTCTCAAAAAAGAAAACTGAATTTGGTTTCAAATTTTCCTTCCCCACTGCCTTGCAATGTTTCTTGAGAAACTTATTTTGCTTTACAGGGCCTCAGTTCTCATCCACTGTAATGGGTGCAATCATTTCACCTGGAGGAGTATTTTAGGACGAAATTAAAACAAATGCATTACTATGAAGATTGGATTATCCTTCCTCCCCAGGACTGATGCCATAAGGGAATCCCTGCCTGGAACTGAGGAGGTAACACTGTGGCGGCCTAAACTGAGCTGCCTCCCTTCTCTCTTCCTTGCCCAGTTGCACCCTGGTGAGCGTGGGCCAGGCCACAATGGTGAGATCTTCCTGAACCTCCAGTTCGTGCTCTGCATCTTTGCCGCACGTACGACGAAGGAATCGGCCGCCTGGCTCCGTGGCGCTGGCTGTTGGCTTCCTCCACCTGGGCACCTCTTTGGGTAAGCAGGAAGGGGCAACGTATTCAAGATGTCAGGGCCTCCAAACCTTCCAACTTTTAAGGATTCTTCTTTGCCCATGCCATTGTCAAACCATGACATTACCCACCTCCTCTGTACCAGCACAGAGGACACAACCTGTCTTATCCTCTCATGACCATATATCTCACTCCATTGACCCCAAGGTCATGCATCATGGCAGATGTGGGCTTTGCTATGCTCCATAGTCTGTCTCCAGATGGGGTCATCCGTTGCCTCACCCCATTGTGGGAACCCTGAGAGTGACGCAGATTGTCTCCCCATTTGCTGCTGGCTGGAGACAAGATGCCGTCTCTCAGGGGCAATGTGGATTATGGGAGAGAAGCTAGAGTGAGTAGGGGGTGTTTCAGTTATAACTATGTCTTTTTGCAGATGCATATACTGGGTGCAGCTGAATCCTGCCCGCTCCTTTGCTCCTGCCATTCTCACCCGGAACTTCACCAACCACTGGTGTAGTGAGGGAAGGGGCAAGGTCCTGGAGCCCACCTTCTGGATGGGTATGGACTGCAGTTCCAGTTTGGGTTCCTGCTTTCTATCTGAGGCTCTATCGGCACTCAGCTATGGGGCTGTCAGTGAGTTTGGCATGCTTGTGAACAGATTCAATTATTATTGCCAAAAAGAGAGCTCTTGCTTATATTGTTCCTTCTGTGTTAGTCAAGGATTTTACTGAGCATCCACTGGATTCCAAAACTAGGGGCTATAAGGATAAACATAAACATAAATATAAATATAAAGACAAAAATGTCTGCTCTTAGTGATCAGGATGTATTGCGTGAGCACACATGGCCTGGGCACCAATCCCACTTATAACTTTACTAGCCTTTGTGTGATTATGGGCAAATAACCAATCATTCTGCATCTCAGTTTCTTTATTTTTTTTTCCCCGTTTAAAAGTTTGATCTCAGTTTCTTTAACTGATAAAATGAGAGTTTATAGAAATGTGTGCAAGTTTTAGTGTGAAACATGTAGCACAGAACATGGTATCAAGTAGTCATCAACAAATATTGGATATGTTTATGTTTATTTGACGATATGTAAGCAAACATATAAAATAATATTAAAAATTTTCAAAGCTGTACACCATTTTTATAGCAGCACTATTCACAAAAGCAAGAGGTAAAGCAAGCCAGTGTCCCTCAATGGGTAAACAAAAATGTAGTCTATACAAAAATAGAATGTTATTCAGCTTAAAAAGGAAGAAATCCTGACACATGCTATAACATGGACGCTCCTAGAGGACATTATTCTAAGTGAAATAAGCCAGTTAACAAAGACAAATACTATATGATTCCATTTATATGAGGTAATAGATAAGTTCAAATTTGAAGAATAAAGTGGAAAAGGGTGATTACCAGAGGTTGAGTGATGTGGTGGAATAGGCATTTATTTATATAGGCGAGTTTCAGTTTGCAGGAGAAAAGATTCTAAGAATGGTGTACAAAATGTATATATACTTAATACCACTGTACACTTTAATGTTTAAATGCAGAAAAACATTTTTTGAGGCCGGGGCGCTGGTGGCTCACGCCTGTAAATCCTAGCACTCTGGGAGGCCGAGGCGGGCGGATTGCTCAAGGTCAGGAGTTCAAACAGCTGAGCAAACGAGACCCGTCTCTACTATAAATACGAAAAATTAATGGGCAACTGAATATGTAAAAAATACCGGGCATGGGCGCATGCTGAGTACCCAGCTTACTCTGGGAGGCTGAGCAGAAGGATCGCTGGAGCCAGGAGTTCGAGGTGCTCGTGAGCCAGCTGACGCCAACGGACTCACTCTACGCTGGACAACCAAAGCGAGACTCTGCTTCAAAAAAAAACAAAAAAAAAGAAAAAACATTTTTTTGAGCAGAGTCTCACTCTGTTGCTGGGTAGAGTGCCTGGCATCAGCCTAGCTCACAGCACCTCAAATTCCTGAGCTCAAGCGACTCCTTCTGCCTCCACCTCTCCGAGTAGCTGGGACTTCAGGCATGCGCCACCATGCCCGGCTAATTTTTTCTATATATGTTTTTAGTCATCCAGCTAATTTCTTTCTATTTTTGGTAGAGACTGGGTCTTGCTCTTGCTCAGGCTGGTCTCGAACTCCTGAGCTCAAACAATCTTCCTGCCTCAGCCTCCCAGAGTGCTAGGATTACAGGCGTGAGCCACCATGCCTAGCCAATACAGTAAATTTTATGTTATGTGTATTTTACCAAAATTAAAAAAATTTTTGAAAGCAATACATAAACTAGTGCAAATTCATAACAACAAATAGAATATACATGAGTTAAGAAGGCATGGGATATGCCGGGCGTGGTGGCTCACACTGTAATCTAGCACTTGGAGGCTGAGGCGGGCGGATTGCTCAAGGCAGGAGTTCGAAACCAGCCTGAGCGAGACCCGTCTCTACCAAAAATAGAAATAATTATTGACCAACTAAAATATATATACAAAAATTAGCCGGCATCGGTGGTGCATGCCTGTAGTCCAGCTACTCGGGAGGCTGAGGCAGTAAGATCGCTGAGCCCGGAGATTGAGGTTGCTGTGAGCCAGGCTGATGCCACGGCACTCATCTAGCCTGGGCAACAAGTGAGCTCTGTCATCAAAAAAAAA